GTATTATGTCACTGTGTAGCGTATCTCAAATGTTTGTGTTATTCATATCATTTAAAGAAATCATTCTTGTCATCATGAAAACAAATATTTTATTTTACATGTACATGTACTTACACTCATAACGATATATCGTGCCACTCCAGTGTAATCCCCAGACATGCTGGTCCGGTCGTCTATCCAAATGTCTTAGATCTACCTTAATCGCAATGCTGGTACACTTAACACAGCTTGAGATTTTATGAATCCGAAACCAGATCAGTAAATTTCTGATCATACCATCAAATTTTAAACATATGTACATCCTATTTGAAATTTAAAAGTCGCGGATAAGATTTGAATAGGCTGTTAGAGGATATAAATCACGTATGTTAGACCATTAATATCTTGGGCTTTGGATTCTCAGAAGTGCGGTGTTTAATCCGTGGTGCATTTCAAGTCTTTGGATCTATGTTGGAACATGGCAAGAGTTAAACAGCTGCTTTATGTCATTTCACAAGGTCACTGAAAAGGTTGTGAATGCCAACTCTACATATGGAGTATCGTTATCCATTTAATCGCTATTTTATAAATGTTTTTACAAAACGAAGTCTTTCAAATTTGCTTAAAGCTTCTTATCATGATGTGTTAACTATATAGCCTCTCCCTTTTTCAATGCCTCCGCCAGGAGTCGAACCCGGGACCTCTGGTTTACTAGTCTTACGATGTACTGGATGAGCTAAATAGAATTTCACAAGAATCGCTTTGGCATTGGTAAACTCGTGGCGAGTTCTTTCCTGGACGGGGGAGTAAGTCACCCTGGTTAAATACTAGCCGCCTCCTATCACATTGGATTGGCACCAGAGGTAACGGGTTCGACTCCTCGCGGAGGTATTGAAAAAATAATGACCTCTGCTACATATTCACACAGGTTCTTATTACTTATGGTATTTATACATTGTATCTTAAACTGTACATATCAACTTACTTCAGCATTAGATAGACACCATTTTCTTGCTAAACATGTACCGTGCCTAGTTGGGTATATGCTTCCGTTTCAGCAAGAACATATGTATTTATTGTTATTTACAGTCAACAGTTGCATTTTAACGATTTTAGTTGGATATGTTGCACCATAACCGATATAATACGAAGAAGATTTTATCTTGGCTCATTTTATCTTGCTACAAATCGTATTATTAATTAAATCAAACAGACGGATTTAACATCCAGCTTTGCTAATTAATTGCTCTCTCATAAACGTATATGTAATTGCTGAGCATGAAGAGACAAACGCAACCACATACATGGGTCAGGCCTCGCCCACAGTGACTTCCCTCGTGGTCATACATATAACATAGAAACGACTGAGTGTTCTCTATGCAACGGTATTTACAATAGAACAATGGCTGCAAAAGTAGCATTAATATATATTGATAATTAATTCAGGGTTTCTTTGTGTTTAGAAATGGCCGTGGCTAATTGTGATCATTATAGAGTCGTATAGAGTCGGCGTTTGAATACCTACAGTAAAATATTTAAGTATCGCTTACTTCAAATAATAAGGAAATAATGATTCATTGCTGCATGTAACATTACAATGTATAATCAGTACATTTGGATATGCAAGTGTCAAATTAAAACAAAAAGATAGACATCTTAACTTCCGGCATTAAATCGACCTTAGTGACTGCCACGTGGATATATTAATGAATTTTGAGTTCATAAGATAAAAGTATAATATCACACTGTATCCGGTTGGCCGTGCGGTCTTGATAGAGAGCCACAATTTGAACCCTGGTGTTCGACTCCCGGTGTCGGGGGTTACGTGTGTTGGACCTCAAAACAGATATCACTTCAACGAATTTTCAGCGTTGAATAATGACACGTGTTTCGTTTGCGCAATAAAAAGAAATGACAAATCATACAGAGTTGTTTTTTTTTTTTTTTTTTTTTTTTTTTATCTTTTAACCAATCAGTGACCCGAAAATCGATTATCAACTGAAAAGATTTTGTTTCGACGGATCTAATCTACATTTACACGAAAACATGACTCCTGAAAATGGCGCTTGCATTCTTTTGTGTGTGATAAAAATATAGCAAAAATAGCATTTAACACATGTATCCCAAAGGCAAATAAACACCTCAAATAGTTACAATGACAAGAATAACGCCTTAATCGGACTTTGAAATCGATATCTGGTGCCTGGCTTTCTTGAAAGGCATGGTGGCGTCAAAGCCATATATTAGCATGTACATCCGAAAAGTGAAAACGTCCATTACTTGTTTTTTGTGGAAATAGTTTGTACCTATATTTCTAAACATTTTCTTCAGGTTGGTAAGTACAAATGTAGACTTCAAGTAAGAGGCTTTTTAATCACGCGACAAAGCGCCGAGCTAAAGATAAACAATTAATTATCTTGAATTTGAGGAATTTTCAGCGATAAATACTTTCACGCATGATAATCTTTGTATATTTACTCGCTGAAGTTCGTCTAAAACATATGAAAAAAAACCACATTGAAGATAAAAAAATCTTGTACCAACCATTGTGTAATTTGCATATATATACATAAATCATATGATGCAGACACACATACAATCTACACTTCCGATAATCTCAACGTACTTTATCCAGAACACCCATACTTAAATACCTAAATATGTACATGTAGTAACTTGTGCATGTATGACAATGACATACAACTATCGGGTACGTGCACGTGCCTAACCACGAAAAAAAATCACACTCAGCGAATTGATACCAGTTTGATAACAATTTTTAACCGGATTTCTCTATACATATCAGACTTATTTATAAACCCTTTTTTCATCGTTTGTCCGATATAAATACAAACGTCATCAGGAATCAGGTTGTCAGCACACCGAGAAGTACGATAATCTCGGCTCTTGACCTCTATTTCTACAGCCACTCGAGCTGTATGTCAGGTGATCTCAAGAGGACGTACACGTTGTAAACGTGGCGAACGAGAGGTCGGGGATCATACGGTGGAAGGTGTTCATGTTTCTATCTAACCGGAATAGTTAGCATGTTTCCGAACAGGTTGACTTTAAACAGATTTTGAGTGAGCCAAAAACTCACATCCCTATTTTTAAAATAAAGTAGTCTCGATATTTTTCAATATTGACATTTGGGTTAAGTGGTACGTTTTGTAAATTCATACTGATCCTACAGCTTGGGATAGTACGTTTCAAGTTCACTGCGCGAAAACACGTATATATTTATACATTGTGTAAATCTATAATTGTTTAAATGAAGTAATCTGCTGTCATATCTATTTACTGTCAGTTTGGAAAAGTTCCCGGAGAAATATATTTACATTTCAACTGAAATTGCACTAAAAAGGATATAGTTCCTGTCAGCGTATGAATACGTTAGCAAAAAGTGCGGGAAGTAGTCCCATCTATATAAATTGTATTCAAAACTGCAGTTCGCTCTCTCTTTTCCATCACACCCGTCATAGTTGTTATACCCCTGTTCGATAATTTCTGTCGGATAAGGCTATCTTAAACGACGTGTTTAAGGAGCGGAGAGTTGTTATGCTGTGAACACTTTTGTCCAGTTTATTTCTATTATGTTATTATATGCAATATTAAATTGATTTTACTAAACACATTTTGGAGACTAACCAAACTTGTGTGTGCCGGGGAAGACAAAATGCAGATATCTACAGACGGACCGGGGTAGAGACTAACAGACGGATCAGAAGTCCCCCAGAGTTATAGGGCACCAGTGATAATACCGCACACTATAAACCTACTGATGGTTTGACGGCAGCCAGACCCCTCTCCTCCTCGCTAGCTGTTCTTCGTTATTTCATAAATGCACCAAATGACCGTGTCTGTACTGATATTGTTCGAGTTTCCTCTTATTAGTTAGAACACATATAGTACACATGTCAATCATTCACAGATCAACGATATGTGGCATCGCTTATCGAGATTAATGTCATCTGAACATTTACCTTAAAGAAAAAAATATTAAGAAATAAAATGCTATTATTTCTTATTAGAATATCCTAAATTTCACCGTTGCAATGATGTACATTGTTGTCAAAATTGAAAAACTTTAATATTTGGCGTTTAATATTGAAACAGAAACCCCTGCAGGTGCAGCTATTGATAAAAGTAGGTATTGTATAGCTTAGCGTGGTCAAATACAGGAACTTTAATTACGCAACACCTGGCTAAATTCTATATTTAGGTGGATGTTTTGTTCATGAATATACATGTTTATTCAATTTAACACCTGTGAGATATAGTCTCGATTACAACACAGTTCTCCTTCGCCTACCATATAGATTGTATTTCCACTGAAATCACACCTGATAGTGTTTAATTTTAATTTGTTAAAATGCTGATTTGAAAACGGTTGCATGATGGAACGGTTTGTTTAGGTCAAATAGTTCAATTTTTACGATGCGAGTGATATTTGTTCTAAAGTTCACACGCATTACGTAAACAGTTGTTCCAACCCTCTGGTTTTAATATTTATGGATCCGCCACCGGGAGATGTGGATCAGACAGATCCGGTATCGGAACATAAACTAAACTGAATTAAACTAAATTAAACTAAGGTGTTTTGTAATACATTGAATATATACATGATGGTTTTTTTACATTATTCACACGAATACTATATTTTTAATTCAAATACACAAACTTATTGAGAACATTTTCTAATCGTTGATTTTAAAATTCCAATATCTATGGTGGACATTAATTAATAATAGCACACTTCGTAAAGGTGATTTGTTTGAATAAACGTTAAGAACGGTATACACTGTTACGAAGCGTTATGATATTTCAATATCATTTTTTTTTTAAAAGACAAAGATATAGCTTGGTTGTACGACACTATATCACAAATTCTGGAAAGTCTTGGCCTCTGTTCCCCGTAGGTCTAGATCTGTGGCGTGCAGTTCTCAACGAGACTCTCAACAGTTGTTACAGCCCAGTGATAATAAACAAAAACGTCTAGAATGATAAATATGTCTACTTACCTAAACACCAATGTTACACGGGGTGCTGATAATTTGCTTCCACGCCCAAAGCAAGCAGGTCGAGTAAACTGTAGTAAAATATCACCGGCGAACTCATACAACTTCTTTTACAGTACCCATAAACCAGATGCGCGTGACCAGCACGCGAGTTTTTCAATAATTAAAACAGACAGAGATATCATTTTCCGCCATTAATGGAGCGGTTACAATCTGTAAATCCTCCATACCCCACGAAAAGGTAAGGTTTCACAGCTGCCAAATGTATCTTGCATTCCGATTGGTCAAGCCCTGGGCTTGGTTCATACGGCGTGTCCGGGTACGTTGATACCCGGATTCAAGCGTAGAAATGATTGACGATCTTAATAAAACAGTAAACTGACCTTGATCTGTGCTTTTTTAAACATGCAGCAGGTGATATTAGATCAGAAAAAAACCCCAGAATGAATTATAGTCTCCCCACAATTGTATTAAATGGAGTCGACTATCACTCGTTGACGATTAATTAAAAGGATCTCGGGAAGCTAGGAAGCTGTTTATTGTCAGTTTATCGTTATTACCGTGGCTATTAATAACCAGATGTAAATATCTGTCACGCCTCCGCAGAGAAACGACAGGAATGTACAGCGATGAAGAATATTTGTGTTGTATAATAGAATATTTTTAGAACAAACACTTTTGATTTGGCAACAAATACAATACCAGGATACAAGGAATGTTCCGTCTTAACTGAAAAAGATTTATCACCTGATAAATCTTTGTAATCTAGGTACGAAATAAACAAATCTGAATCTGAATTCGTCCGGACAAATTACATGAAACGTTGCCGCGTTGCTTACAACACTACTATCTTTCTCTCTATCAATATCTACAGTATATTACTGTAACTACTGAATTTTCATTTTTTTTTTATTATAAAATAGGTTTACAATGACCCATCGCCTTTGTATACAGTGTTCCAGTAAAAGAGAGGGATATAATGATCTTGGTGGTCAATTACAAAACATACTGAAGCCTTTCACCAAGGCGGCTGGGGTTCGATTCTCCGATCGGATGTTAAATGATATTGGGTCACCTGTCCGACCATGTTGGTTTCCTCTCATACTAACGCCCCGTGCACGCTTACATCCGGGCCAACAAGGGGGATTAATATAAATTTATAAAATGTGATTCATAGCTGTTGTAAGATAAATAATAAGTTGATATGTTATGCCGATAGTGATCCCTGTGCAAAACGTGTTTAACGAGAACAATGTGTTCAGATCGGCGTAGATGATAGTATACGTACATAATGTACGTGATACATAAGGAACGCTGGAACAGGCATTGGAAATGTGCTAGTCTTTTTAAACACTACTGTAACAATATCACGGTGTTATTGTCATTATCAGGCTTCGTAATCATTCTCACATTAGACTGCTCATTGAAGTTCATTTTGAATTGCTCGCTTAGGCATGGTTGTGAATTCGATCCTGCCAGACAGTGTTCGATCTTGTAAGATATACGATACCAAGGCGTATGGTATATGGCGTGTGAGTTAGGGGTTAATAATGTCGGGATATCAAGGGGCAATAAATGATTGGTGGGTTACTTCCGTACGAGTTTTTTTTTTATTGAATCCTGATAGTTTGCAAAGACATGAGTGTGACAAAGAGCCGACATTTGAATACATAGATGAAATTCTGAAATATAGATTTAATACAGGTGTAGGTTTCATTTGTTTATGAAGACTTCTAAGTTCATCAACTCCATAAGATTACCAAGAAAGGCACAAAAGTGAAAAAGTAAATATACAAATACATAAAGTATTGCAAAGGAAAAATCAAGAGGATTAATTTGGGTTTCTTCGATGTTGCTGATGAAAAGACCACTGATGAACATCAGCGATTCCAAGGGAGCCCCCCGTGATCGACTGTTACTCCAAGGGAGCCCCCAGTGATCGACTGTTACGTGTACAACCATGTATAGAAATTCATCAGGTACTGTTACATGTACCTGATTCGAGAACCCTGTACCCTGTACCCCGGCCAATATGGTAATTGTTTTTTAATTTTATTTGACTCTTTGTTGTTTACTCTATATAAAAAATGATCCGTTAAATTGACTTGATCCCCACTGTACAATGACTTGCTGTCCAGGGAATGAGTTATCCATTAGCAGTGTGTTAGTTCTAAAACTAAAACACCCTTACAAACTACAATTTAACTCATTCGGCAGTTTCCGGTAGTGCAGAATTTTCCGAAACCTCGTCACGGAAATGAACGAGCAAATCAGAGAAGAATTGGGCAGCGTGAAGTATTGTATTGTTTTTGCTATTAATCTTGAGACAATATTAAAAGATTTGATATGGCTCTAGATATGTTTTTGGAATTTGTGAATTTTTTTGAAAATGTCCGTACGCTGTGTACCGGCTTTGCCTCGGGAAGTAGACCTGGCCCAGAGAACGTTAATCTGGTTATATCCCTCAAATCCAAATTTAATCTGTACATCCGTGTTGTGCTGACGGTGGGTCTTTTTACCTGTATTGTAATAGTGACGTTAGTTTGGGCCGTGGTGGCCAAGTGGTTAGGAGTCTGACATGCTACCACTAGTAGTGTCTCTAGTTTGTACATCAATATTCCTGAACACGTACAGCTGTAGTCTGCTCAGTATGCATATTTTTCTTCATTTTTTTTCAATGGCACAGCGTTAGAATCAAAGCATTCTTGCCGTCCTCGAAACGTCAAGAATCATTCTCACCAGTGTAAGAGGGCAACTGCTTTGAGATGGCTATCAATGCCCTGTATTTTCAACGCGGTATGTCCCTCACAACTAACACTAATCTCGCCCACTCCGATAGCAGTTTTTTCCTGGATTAATCTTCACATTCCCATTTAAGTGTGTCAGTGATACACCGTTGACTCTTTTGAGTGCAAGACATTTCCAATCTGCTGCTACTTTCATAGGGTCATAAAGGTTTATTGTATGGCATCCTCTAAAACTAACCAATAAACCAATAAACAAAAAATCCTTGTAGAGAAGGGCGATAAGTAAGGTTTAACAACTCTCTCCGCGTACTGAGGACTGACGGACCTGTACAATTGACAGCTGTTGAGTCTGGCCACGTCGTCTATTTTTCTTTTCTTTAACAAATTCGGAATATACATCAAACTCCTTCTATAGATGTCAACCACAATGATTCAGTCATTAATTTGTATAAAGTATGACCAAGTTCATTTAAGGCTATTCGCTCATAAGGTTTGTCAGGCAATGCATTTCTTAAAATCTTTTAAATGCAAATCATACAAAATCTTTTATTTATATGAAGAAAATCACTTTTCGAAAAACGTGCATAGAAGGGTTTAACAGTGACTCCGGTAAAACGCAATATAGAATGCAGAACATGATTATAAAATTGCACTTCCGGTTGGACAAACTGTGAAAGTCTTCCTCCGGTTTGTTTACAAACTATATCAATATGCCATTAATATCCGCAAAAAAGTCAAAGGTCAGGTAGAGGGAGTATTGCAAAAGCAGACAGAGGGAGCGTGTTGGATGGAGAGAACTGAGATAGGCATAGCCTGTTGTTCGATCCCTTTCATATAACCATCATGAATATAATTTGTTGAAATGAAATTAGCGTCTTGGCAATGCTGTTTGCTTTGCTGTTCCTCTGCAAGACGTCTAGCCACAACATTAGTTTGTATTACAAAAAAACAAGCAGGCTGTTTTAATGACCCAAGTTACACAATATAAGTGCTGTCTTAGGGGCTGGGCCTGCGAGGGAAAGTGTGCAGGGAGGGGAAGGAAGACGGATTGTCTTGTCAGTGTCAGCATCCAACTAAAGTCACGTGACGTTTGATTCAACGGGAACAATGATGCCTTGTCGTAACTACAACATACGCATGTCTCAGTTGAAATGTACAGCTAGATGGCGCGGCGATCTGCATAGACAAAGACCCGGCTGTACCGTCTGTTCAGCTCCAGCATCACTCCCTTTATATTTATGTATCTGTAATTATCATGTTCTAAACAAATTAAATGTTTACATTTAGTTAAAGGCAATGCTGTTATATGTGTATGTTTATCTATTCATGATGCTCTTTTTGCAATCCAGCTTACTTAAGGCGTTACGTATTGAAAATTATGGTCACTAAACATGTAGTTATAATGTAGTTCTAGACGTATGTTAGCGGTACACGGTTGGGCATACCAGGAGCATGTATGGTCACTACACAGTTACACGATACTTGCCAATGTATTTCAAGATGATTTATATGGTCAGTTAGCGGAACATCGGAGGGCGTGCCAGCTAGGAACGTAAACATTTAGGATTAGTTGTTTCATGTGCATGTTCCGAACATGTATGGTCATTAACTAACGCGTATGAGGATCATGTATGGTCATTTAGTGTTACAAATGTGTGCGTGTCAGCATCATGTACAATGTATCGGCATTTAGTGTTACAATTAAGTGCGCGTCCAAATCATTTATGATCATTAAATGTTATAGATAAGTGCGTGTCAGGATCATGTATGGTCATTTAATGTAAAAGATTAGTGTGTATCAGGATCATGTATGGTCATTCAGTGTTACAAACTAGTGCGTGTCAGGATCTTGTGTGGTCATTTATTATTACAAATTAGAGCGTGTCTGGATCACGTATGGTCATTTAGTGTCAAAAATAAGTATGTATCAGGATATGGTACAAATACTTAAATATACTGTAAGCATTACACTGTCACTGAAATATGAATGATCATTTAGTTGTTTACATTACCGAGTGTCCAGAGCATCGAGGTTATTTACAATGTAGTGTTACACATTAGGGCGTAACAGGGATTTGTACGATTCTGTAGTGGTACGTATTAGGGCGTGTCAGGGACGTGTACGATCATTTATGAATAGTTAGGTTCACATATCTGCAGTGGTTCACATATCTGCAGGTACGGAACCATATATCTGTACGGTTGTCTCTTTTATCTTGTAGTCTCGTCATATCTTCAAGTTGATAATGTTTAAAACGTGAACAAAGTTGACGTTTTGATGATATAATCGCAATGTTAAATCAACCGTTATGTGTATTGCACATTTATGACCGCTAAATCACTGTTATTTATAGTCTGTGTTACTAGGGTTTCGTTAAACGAGAAACAAATTAAAATGGTACTTGAGAAATTGTTAGAGGAAGGCAATAAAATATACTGCTCGCCCAATACATGTCTAACGTAAATATTTTTATAATAGTATTTAGTCCTTAGTTCTAGTGTAAAAACGGGGAGTAACCTTCGCGTAAGGGATGACAGAGTTACGTGCCTTGAGTGAGTGTGGTCACTGATTAAAGAGTTATGTCCCCTTCCCCACATCTTTATTGGGTGAAGAATAATGCAATTTATAGCGTTTGTGAGAACGTTAAATATCTGTTATCTTAAAAAAACAGAACTATTTTTCACAAACGGACACCGAGATATAACCGATGTATACACGGTCTATTGTAACTATAAATTAGAAACGTTTTACTGGCATGACACTTGCCTTAATAATAATATCTAAAATTAAACCCATTCAAAATTAACAAACATGCATAACAAATACAACGGGTCCAGAATGGGATTTGAACCTTGGTCCCTCCAACCATCCACAGAGCCACGTTACAATCAAACATATGCTATACTGATATGGGTCACAACACACATAAACATAGTGTATGTTTATGTTTGTTGTGACCCATATCAGTATAGCATATGTGTGATTGTAACGTGGCCCCGTGAACCATCTAAGCTATACTTTCAGCAGTATTTACTCGTAGTAGGCCCTGTCCTAGTAGAATTATCATATCTCAACCACAGGGCCACGTTTCAATATGTTTGTTGTGATCCATATCAGTATAGCATATGTGTGATTGTAGCGTGGCCCTGTGTCTCAACGGAATGATGGGAACAAGGCTACATGAAGCGGGACAAGGAACTTTAACGAGCGAGATCCTGTGTGGTGAATAACTGGTGTATATTTACATCCTTTCCCTATACAGTCTTAGTAAACATCTATGTTGTCCTGTAGCGCTAAATTCCACAATTCAACATGGATGTTAACCACAGTAGTCTATTAAGGAAAAGGAATACTCAAGATGAATGTCCCCCATATGTGCTACTTAAATATCTTTTAGTGTTTTGATATTTTCCCGCTCCTTTTAAATGTATACTTGAATAATTTCCACGTCATCCATACAATCTATTGTAGTTTTTGTGAAGCATTGTCTAAATCAAAGTTTACTCAAACCAAGGAGAAGAGATAGGAGAAACTGAGTAATCATTATGTAGGTTTTTGGTTTGTGGACATTCTACCCTCCGGTGGGGAAGTGGTGTCAGAACCTCGGTGAGTCTCCGTTCTGATCCGAATTCTAAACTCTCCGGAGGAATTTCCGTACCCCGTAACCCCACTGTTAGACTCCTTCGTCTTTTATGATTCAATACATGGGAGGTGAAATTATCTAAAACTGTGTGATGTTGAAGCGAAAACACTTTTTTCCCCCATTTATTGTTATAAACCTGAAAAGGTTCTCACAATGATACCCTATGTCAATAGTATGAGTGTTCTGCATAATCTCTCTAAATTATATAGTTTGATGACAAATTAATGTATACATTAATAGATTAACATAATCTCTGACCACTTAAGGATTGAATTCTGTTTTGTTGAGGTTTATGGGGTATAAACCTCAATGGGTCTTGAGACAATTTTTTATGAACTGCGAAGCAGTTCATTTGAATTTGTTTCAAGACCCATTGAGGTTTATACCGCATAAACCTTAACAAAATGGGATTATAGCCTTATATTTACATTCAGAGCTTTATTGTTATTTGTTCGGATAATTTCTAAAATATCGGTCTTGTGCAAGTCTAACATCACGGAAGGTATCAACACGTATGACGTCATCACTCACTTTGAGACGTCGTCCTGTTAAGATGAATAAGCAAATTAAGATGTGAATTATTTTTTGAATTCAATTGAATACTTCTAAAAAAAAAGGAAAACAATCTATGAATGGAACTACTTCCCGTACTCCGTGGAATAACAGAGTAATCAGGTTGATAAGATGATGATGTATTCATACGCCAACTGAAAAGTTCATTGAAAAATAACCTTTAAAATGTTAAGGAAGTATATTGAGTCCAAGTTCAGTAGAAGTGTAAATATTAGGTTATATCCTTTAGTTGAAAGTCCTTGGGTGTGAATGAATACTATACATGCATTTCGTTCATTTTAACTCCATTGCAGTCCAACTTTTCCAGTGGAGTTCGGAGTCTTAATAATTATAAAAGTTCAGGACTTTTCTTTGTATACCTTATTTTTGAAGGCGCAACACTGATCCGCTCCTCCCAGGACTGCAGTCTCACATCTTCTTACTCTCCTGCCTACACTTCCCTTTCCACAGTGTTTCCTTCTGTACCTCTGGTGACACATAGTCTGAATTGAACCCAATGAGGTGCGAGTGTACACTTCCCATGATATGTCACTACAAAAAAATGCTTCGACGTTTCTTCATCATCTGTTTACACTGCCTTGATATGACCTTAATGTACTGTTGGGAATAAACAGAACAAATGTGTTTCTATCCCATCATTTAGGGGCACTGTAGTCTAGTGGTAGGACGCCGGGCTCGTGACCGAATGGTTGCGGGTTCGAGTCACGGCACGGCACTGTGTGGTATCTTTGAGCAAGATACTTTCCTTCACATGTATATTTACACATATAACAAATAAATTATTTACATAATACCATATAAATTATATACATACTATTTTCCCAAAAAAAACCCATCTATTCAGTAAAACTGTGCGCATAAATATTTAACATCGGTTATTGGTAGGAAAAGTACGGTCATACTTTACTCAAAGTAAAACTAATATGTACAAGTAAGTCGTGAATATGATATGTGTGATACGTCATCGTATTTACGTGTGCTACGTCATCGTATTTACGTGTACTACGTCATCGTAATTACGTAACTTGGTATGTCAGAGAGGTGTCTAAATATAATCAGCAAAAACATGCTTGTATAATGGAAGATAACATAACGAAGGAAAGAAAATGTGAAATATTAACGAATGCCGATTAGCCCGAGTTTATTATTATTTACTTACATTTTCCAGTGTCGAGTTATATATTATGTTTACAAAGTATACACACATTTTGCCGAGAGTATCTAGTACATTATGTATGTAGCATCAAATTTTACGAATTCTATTTTTTTCTCACTAATTAACCAGATCTACCAAAGAAATGCAAATAAATATATATACATTGTATATATAAATAACCAGACGTGTTCTGATTTCTGGTTTAGCTGATGAACACGCAACCTAGAGGCAGTAAAAACAGTTAAACAAGCAAGAGGTAGTTACTGCAAATGGCTTGTTGATTGATCGCAAGCAGACGCTGGCTAGTTTCTACATATATAAAGGTATGCTATTTGATTATGCAGATGTTAAACTTTTCTGTAGCGTTGCACGTGCATATAATGGTGTACGTCGGAGATAACCCTCGGTAACTGACCAATGAAAAACGCATTCACAAGACCAAACTTTTAGCAAGTTTCATGTACTAAGTATATGCATGTTTTCACGGAAAACATATGAGAAGTTTGTAATTCGGTTTATGTAATATTCAGGTTAGAGGTAATAAAGAAAAGATATATCTTTTTCAATTAAATATCTAAGATGTACACTTAAACTTCATAATATACATACACATAGACTAAATTCATTATTTGTGCGTTGGCGTGAAATGTTGAAAACAAGTTTCATACAAATATGCATGTATATAAACACCAAAAAAATAAATGTTTACATTCTGATAAAATACAACGTACAACATATGTACATATATTTAAATACAATTTTTACAAATAAAATATTTAACAAAACTGTATTTACAGGAATTATATGCAATTTCATATAATACAACCGGTGAAATGTTTATATGTGACGTTTCGATAACTTTAGCACAGCATATGCCTTCAACAGACAAATAACCAGTTAAACGTATGTACATTTATGCAGATGTTAAATCAAAACAAATCGAAATGGAAATGAAATCGCCAAGTCGAATCTCGATCACTCAAAAAAAGGTTCCAATATTTAAAGCGTGGCCGAATCGACTTGTATCACTGCTTATCGAAAAATCAATTAAAATCATTTTAGTGGTTGTTATTATATGAAGCTCCATACAATATATATTTACCAACCTGAAAAACTGTTGTGAAATGTATGTATGTGAAAATGTCATTAAAAAGGGTGCAGGGATTAGAACTGTTATCTTTGACGCCATTTTGGAATCAAACATTACTATTGATAAATGTATATGCTAATTGTATCAATTGTGTACCGGACTCTATGTACTATAAAGCACTTTTGTGTGGGTTATGTTAGCTAGATAGAGAACTATATCAATTGTTGTATATTATATTTTATATCAAATGGTGTACATTGGAATGAAGACACACTTGGCAGAAAGTTAGTGAGCTTTTTTTGGATGGGATCTCAACATATTCCGCTGTTTTTTTGCCATTAACTTTTAAGAGTTTATTAATTGCGTAGTTGTACGGTTTTGTTCAGTATTAGTGGCTTTTGTCCGGAATAAGTCTCTATGATTGATGTGCCACAGCAACGTATCATAGGTAGTGTGAAGTTAAGAGACCTTTGTTTTTAATGTTTTTGATTTTTGGTATTTTAGACCTGCGTTCGGTAGCAAAGAAATTGACAAATGATTTTAGGTGAACTATGTGCATATTGTATACAGACATGTTTTAAAAATAAGGGATTTTATTTTTTGAGATATTTACCTCTCCCGCCATCTTGGTAACATATATCTTGTGAGCTACCTACCGTCTTCATGTCTTCCATGGCTGTTCGGGAGCGCTACCTTGACGAAAAAGACAAAAATCGCACAAACTTTCTTGTTGCCAAACGCGCCCATGGTTTCATTGAATTTTCTATAAAATTAGACTCTCATATCAATTTATGCATAAAACTTCTTTCATTTGGTATTCTGGTGTGCTTCATAGAATTTCCGTTTAATGGTTAGCAATCTTATGAAATAGTAGTGAAAAATGTCTTTCATATTGAATATGAATGGTAAATAAAATGATTTCATGGCTAAAATAAAATTGTTAGAGATTTAAAAAATACAAAAAAATAAAATAATGAGATCTACAATGTACTACTTTAGGACTGCACCAGTTATCGCTCATGACATTGTAATAGTTCGATATTTATTGATTCTTAAAAATCCTGTTGTTCCATGTTGTTATCATCAATAAGCATTCCTGAAACCCTTTTTCACAAATTTTGTTTGCAGTGTCATTAATTACAACTGGCACATCACGGTAACCGCGTCGGACACAATATCCATTCCCGAGTATAATCTATTCATGCACCATGGTTTTAACTCCAAATGAATGTCCTCCTCTTCCATCGGTTGGGACAAACATTGTTCAAACAGATGTCGATGTTTCTACTCACTGTGCAAACAAACTTGGTACCTATGGGTACGCTAAACAGATAACCGTTTATACTCACACTCAAAAATACTAGACAACTAACACGGTGTCCGTTGCACTTATTGGATGTCTTATATATGCAGACATACATCACGTCTGTGTGTTTTTTTAAAGACTACACATGTCACAAACTGCGCACGGATTGCTTTCAAAGTTAACGCTGTACATTGTGATTCACTTGTGTATCGGTGCGAAAGGTAACTGTTGGTCCGACAGCTCACACAGTTGTCTAAGTTCTCGTAATTCAGTAGTAGCCCTGAAACAGGAACACCCTTGTTAACGATAGTACATTTTTAGTTTATGCATGATTTAGAAAGTTCCCTGGGAAAGTGTTAAATGCAAAAACAAATGGAAACTAGTAAATTTTAAGTTTATGCATGATTTAGAAAGTTCCTTAGGGGATTGTTAAATGCAAAAACAAATGGAAACTAGTAGATTTTTAGTTTATGCATGATTTAGAAAGTTCCCTAGGTAAATGTTAAACGCAAATACAAATGGAAACTAGTAAATTTTCAGTGTATGCATGATTTAGAAAGTTCCCTAGGAAAGTGTTAAATGCAAAAACAAATGGAAATTAGTAAATTTTCAGTTTATGCATGATTTAGAAAGTTCCCTAGGAAAATGTTAAACGCAAATACAAATGGAAACTAGTAAATTTTCAGTGTATGCATGATTTAGAAAGTTCCCTAGGAAAGTGTTAAATGCAAAAACAAATGGAAACTAGTAAATTTTAAGTTTATGCATGATTTAGAAAGTTCCCTAGGAAAATGTTAAATGCAAAAACAAATGGCAACTAGTAAATTTTAAGTTTATGCATGATTTAGAAAGTTACCTAGGAAAATGTTAAACGCAAATACAAATGGAATCTAGTAAATTTTAAGTTTATGCATGATTTAGAAAGTTCCTTAGGGGAGTGTTAAATCCAAAAACAAATGGAAACTAGTAGATTTTTAGTTTATGCATGATTTAGAAAGTTCCCTGGGAAAGTGTTAAATGCAAAAACAAATGGAAACTAGTAGATTTTTAGTTTATGCATGATTTAGAAAGTTCCCTGGGAAAGTGTTAAATGCAAAAACAAATGGAAACTAGTAAATTTTCAGTTTATGCATGATTTAGAAAGTTTCCTAGGAAAATGTTAAACGCAAATACAAATGGAAACTAGTAAATTTTAAGTTTATGCATGATTTAGAAAGTTCCCTAGGAAAATATGAAATGCAAAAACAAATGGAAACTAGTAAATATTCAGTTTATGCATGATTTAGAAAGTTCCTTAGGAAAATGTTAAACGCAAATACAAATGGAAACTAGTAAATTTTAAGTTTATGCATGATTTAGAAAGTTCCCTAAGAAAATGTTAAATGCAAAAACAAATGGAAACTAGTAAATTTTCAGTTTATGCATGATTTAGAAAGTTCCCTAGGAAAAGGTTAAACGCAAATACAAATGGAAACTAGTAAACTTTAAGTTTATGCATGATTTAGAAAGTTCCCTAGGAAAATGTTAAATGCAAAAACAAATGGAAACTAGTAAATTTTCAGTGTATGCATGATTTAGAAAGTTCCCTAGGAAAGTGTTAAACGCAAATACAAATGGAAACTAGTGAATTTTCAGTTTATGCATGATTTAGAAAGTTTCCTAGGAAAATGTTAAATGCAAAAACAAATGGAAACTAGTAAAGTTTAAGTTTATGCATGATTTAGAAAGTTCCCTAGGAAAAGGTTAAACGCAAATACAAATGGAAACTAGTAAACTTTAAGTTTATGCATCATTTAGAAAGTTCCCTAGGAAAATGTTAAATGCAAAAACAAATGGAAAACTAGTAAATTTTAAGTTTATGCATGATTTAGAAAGTTCCTTAGGAGAGTGTTAAATGCAAAAACAAATGGAAACTAGTAGATTTTTAGTTTATGCATGATTTAGAAAGTTCCCTAGGAAAATGTTAAATGCAAAAACAAATGGAAACTAGTAAAGTTTAAGTTTATGCATGATTTAGAAAGTTCCCTAAGAAAATGTGAAATGCAAAAACAAATGGAAACTAGTAAATTTTCAGTTTATGCATGATTTAGAAAGTTCTCGAGGGAAATGTTAAATGCAAATACAATTGGAAACTAGTAAATTTTCAGTTTATGCATGATTTAGAAAGTTCTCTAGGGAAATGTTAAAATGCGAAAACAAATGGTTACTGAATATGATATTTTGTGGAATGACTATGTTCATCAGAATTAGCAGTTACGGTTATCGCGCAATACGACAAAGAATCGGGAATGGTCTCTCCTTGAAGTTGCCTTTTTTGCGAATATGTCGTCTGCTGTAAAATCGCGAACAGACGTAAACAAATAATCTGCAGTAATGCGATTATAGAAGAACGTTGGTACCTTATCATTTCAAACATGTTCCGTCTGTTGTATAACTGGAGAAATGCGTACTGGTTGGTCTGGAAGATGTCGCAAAAAGACAGCGTAGAATTTCCGTGATAGCAGTAAGAGACAGCGTCCACCATTGTCCTTTTACTGACTTTACAGCTGACCGAGTTCTGGACGTAAAGGGACAACATGACTCTAGTAAGGCACTGGTGTGCGGACGTGATCCATTGCTGACCCTGCAATTTAGAACAAATTGGTGCAAGGCGCAAATAAGCAGGACGTTATTGAAAGTCAAGTATGACAGAATCGGTTTGAAACTACACATCAGAAGGACATTATTAAAAAGTCAAGTGTTGCACCTATACAACTTGGTAATAGATGCGGTATGACAGAAATGAATTACACTGCACCATACAGCTGTTACGGCCCTCTAGGGCTCATCGGTGATAATAGGAGCCAAAGTGGAAATCCAATTTCTTTTGACCAACTGATGAAACGGAAGGGCACGTGCGATAACCCCCCTATCTTTATGAATTTCACCAAAATTAGATGGACACTAGTTAATTTCAAATTAATAATGAGTGTGCATATTATGAACAGTTCCACACCTGAAAAGGTATATTTGTGGCTATTATCAACTTTACACAAAACGTAACACACGGACAGATATTTCTCCCATAGCTACTACAGTATGGGTTCCATCACTCTTGACTCATTGGATAAGCATGCCTCATGTTGGTAAACAATGGTTTGGTTACCCACTAGAGGGTAACATCCTGTGATGTTATTATTTATTTATTGATCAATCTTCTATTTACAATGTCAAATAATAATGCTTTCGACGTCATCTTCCACTGTTATTTTACAGGTTATGACAATTTATACTCCGATCGGAAACAGTAATAATGTATTCCCAAGAAATACACCTGTTTTTTTTAGATATAATCTCATAATTTTGTGTGAAAAAGTTCCCCAAACTCATGATGGTTGATTATACTTTTCAAATTGTAAAAGACACTCGGTAATTCATAAATCACGTATTTTTATACAATTTGTAAATTAACTAACTTAAATTAGATAAACATGATAACGAACCATCACTCATTAGGGAACATTTATCTATTGCAAAGTCAATATTGTTTATAATATTATACTGGATATCTAAAGTGTTCTATGTCAATCCATGTTAAAAACCAAGCCAAGTCGCTGAGCATTCTGAGCTGTCTGAAGACGGCTAGTTCTTTTATCAGATATATTAATGTAGACTGGGATTTTTTGGCACAGTTAAATTCTCGCCTTCAACGTCCTCATAGGGTGACACATTTATCGTTACAGCGAATTTAACTAAACTATAATATACATAGTAAATAAAATTGAAGCGCGAAATTAATCCTGGACGACAAATGATTTTATTGGCGAAGGGCGATAGCTTGACTGAGCTAGAGTTTCCCGGTATACAATATATGCAGATATGTTAGAGAACAACTGTGAGATACTTTTTGTTTCGTAACTTTCATTTTTGTATTTTGAATCAAATATTACAGTTTTGTTTCTTCGTATTACTTTTTGGCATGGTAAGTTCTTTCTATTAATAGCCGGTCAAATCATATCTTAAATCACATGACAACGACATAATATTGCATTGCTGCAGTTTCTTTTTAGCAGATTAAGGCGATCAAGCAGTGCATCAGAGTCAGGCAAACATTAATTGAAATGATATGCATAACTTGACCTCAATTATAATATTTGCATATGGTGTTTTATTTGCGGTGTGTATCAGAATACGTGCTACAAGTAATAATTAGTGTGATTAGCAGATATAAAAGGACCACAAGTGCATATTTACGGAGCCCCTTATGGCCTTAATCATTGGGCTGGGCATCCGGGAGGCTTGACACGGGAAGTGTTTCGGTAAAGATACATGGGACCGACCTTCTACTATCTACACCGCTAAACACTGTTGCAGTTGTGTATAATCACATATAAGATTACTACAAAATAGTTTTAAACTAGTAAATATGTCGTAGCACAAAGACTTCGACACCTATTATAACATATAAATGAGTATTTGAATGATTGCCTTTGCATTAGGATATTGCACAGACTTTATGTGCTAGTGGAGTTACGAATGTGTATGTTAGAAATTATTTTGCGAATAAGTAACAATATTTTCCTTGCCAAGCTAATAGATTCCGTATAGGTCAGACTATTTCTTGCCTCTAGCATCATAGAAAAATGCATTGACAAGGAAATCCATAGAAATCTGTAAATATATGCTAACCACAACATATGATTTGGTTGCACGTAGAGACAAATGAAGCTTGGATATTTAGTTTTGATGCTAGTTATTAAAGTATGTATAAAGGGCAGTTGGTTGAAAGGAAAACGTCATAAGCGATACAAGTCGGATTTTATGTTTTAAGTTTTTTCCAGACAAGAGTTACATTATAGATATAAATACTTAGAATAGACGTCGCCTAAATTACTCACAATAAAAACATCACATGAGTTCATTGAGCTATTTTATCAATATAATCCGTTCATTCATATAATTTATGTCGTAAATGCATGCATGATACGTCGCATTGGTTGGAAGAACCATAGCTCAAAGATGAATTAAAAAATAATCGCATCTACACATGCTATTTTGTATGTAAAACATAGATGCTAGTTGTGCTAGTAATTTATTTTTATTGTTTTTGGCCTTTAGTTGATTGTAATACTTTAATCCGAAACTGTTCAGTTTACATGACCGCATCAGGTTTATTTTCGATTACTAACCTCTTATGATGTAGTGGCATACGATCATTATCTATTGTCAAGTATACTATGTTGTTTGTTTGTATAATAGAAATCAGAATAAGAACTGTCACGAGATATACATTGTAAGCATTGTTTTGAATCATGGTACAGTGTTTCTGTTGTGTACCAGGTAGCTATATCCTATAATCTTTATTTTTAGTTAAATGACGTTATTATATAGCTATTCCTTATAGCTTATTAAGACACTGTGCAGCTAAAAGTTACAGTTATTTAAGTTAATATGTAGCTATAACTTGTACATCCTCGATACTCATAGGGTAATGCACACTTTTGCTCTCTGCACCCCTTGAATATGGCATAGCGAAATCGAAGGCCTAGTGTGTGCCTCCTAAACTAGTTTGATCCATTGATATACTACAAACGAATCTCGCGGCTTTCGAGTTTGATGTCGCTCCTAAATAATCTTTCAAAAAAGCAGATATCAGCCTAGTAATTGGTCAGATTGTTTGACCTGAGACCAATCAAATAGCTAGCTATGTGCCTTCAATTTTGCTATGACAAATTCCAGGGGTGCAGAGAGCGAAAGTGAGTGTAAACCCATGATTATCGAGGATGAAACGTTTAGGAGGATACTGTTAGTGTGTAGTTATCAGTTATACTTAATTAAGGAACTGTGCAGCTATAACTTGTAGTTATGTGAAGTTATTGTAACGCTATTAGTATCTTCATAAGGTTTATATACGAATTACTATATCAGACTTTAGGGGAAATTGTTTTTGTACTGTTTTGTTCACTACATTTCGAAACAAAATTAATTACAAACAGGTGACCAGATCAATATTCTTTTACTAAACGTTACATGAGAATGTTAAATTCTTAAGATTACCTGCCGGTCAAAGTTACTGTAATTATTGAAGAATCGTCTACAGTAGTTGCGTTCTGGGTCGGCCGCAAAGCCACATGTTCGGCATGGAAACCGATTCTCATAACAGTCGAAAAAATCACAAGATCCCTCTTCTGCCTTCCGCTCACATTCTGGATCTCGATCTAAAACAGTTCATAAAAAATAACGTCTCCTCAAGCGATGTGACAAAGATATCAAAATGTATATCCTTTTGAGTTTAACATCTTTTTTTTTCATGCTCCAGGCCCTCTCATATCATTGATATTTATAGCTGTGTATAATTTGATATGGTGTCAAAATATTAAAAAAACCCACATCTTAAGCTTACAATAATAACAATGATAATGATTCGAGGTTCTTGTTTACGCTTTATCACAACCTAATTCGGAGGTTGTCTCAAAGCGGTTCACAAATCATTATCTGTGGTTATAAGGCCTTTGCAACCAACCAATATCGTTCTCAACTCCATGGGGACTATACAGCGGGTGCTGCTATTTCGGCGCTCACAACTAGCATTGCTTAAGTCTAGCACTGTCCAACCACGTACTCCTTTACAGCTGAGGAGACTGGAACAAGGAGAGTAAAGTATCTTGCTCAAATATACAACATAGTGCCGTGACGTGACTCAAACCCAAAACCCTTCGGTCACACGAGCCCGGCGTCCTGCCACTAGAGATGTAAAAGAAAATTTGAGGCTTTGAAATAACAGTTTAAATTTATACATATTTTAATCGTATTCCTGCTTAAAATATAAGTCGAATTAAATCAGATTCCAACTTTCGAGATTGCCAGCCGATGTGATAATACATCCGGTGGTTTGTGCATGTCACGCCTCCAGCTATATCAGCCTGCATCCTGTTTTTTTTTTTATGGATAAAACAAATGTCGAATCCGCGTCCGTGTCCTGTCCGGGTCCGGATCGAAATGTAAAATAGTTCATCTTTTATTAGCAGGAAACGAGGACGAGCTTAGCAAAGAAGTGTACAGAAATGAATGTTTGCAGATGCTGGAAGTGTTTATAACAATAAATAAGTATGACAACGACAACACGATAAGGAAACCACTATTGTTTATTATATAGTTTGTAATGAATGTATATATTACCATATATTGTATATACATGTTATAAAATGTTACTACATGTATGTGATTATTATAAGATTTGCCCTGGGCTTATGTCCCCGATGAAGGTAACTCGGGCCAATGTCATAAAATAACATGACCATGAGTTTTTTGAACTGACCACATGTTGTATGAAACCACGTAAAACATATTTCTGGTGACCAGTTTGCTTATTTATAAGCGACAATCTCAAAGCTTTGTTTCAGCTGTTTACTCACGTGATATTTTATAATATGGTAATCGGTTTGGTATTGTTAGAATTTTATCAATTCCAAAAATATCTGATTATTATAAATTTAGGATTCAGTCATGGTAATACAGCACAAATGAATTTCCCAAAAGGAGGAAGAGGAAGTCACAGAGCACACATCCAAACCCTCACTGTCCTTTGTTCAGTACATGTATCTCAACCAATCAAAGTGACAGAAACTTTATAAGGTATTCTGGGAATAAATTATGATGGGTAAATGGTTGGATTTTTTGTATAACTAATAACGAAAAGGTGTAGACACATTATAGCTAATATTGAAAAAATGTAAAAATGTAATTTGAAAATCCAAGAATTCCATCAAATTCCATTCAAAAAAGGGTAATGAAAATTGTCACACATAAGATTAATGTCATGTAAAGTAGCTGTTCTTATCTTAAAGCTATAGTTGTATAGAAGTAGGGAAATGAAATGAAAGCGGAATAATGGGGATTGATGTCATGGTTGTTTGCTTTACTGAAACTAATTTGCATGTTCTTCTGAACATTGCTCCATATACCTGCGGATCAATAATGCAATTGATAATTTTGGAAATGCCCTATTGAGTTCGCATTTAGTAAAAATATATAAAATCTGTATATAGAATCAATATGTAAGAACAAAACTGTAGCTAATGTCACAAAAAAGGCACCCTCAAAACGCAAAGAAACATTGAAACAAGACTAGTTAAGCTTTAAACCTTCCGATGTATATGATATTATCACAGATGTCTATATTAGTTATTCGCAATAAAGCATTTTAATTGCAAAATCTCTGATTATGAAATGCAAAAAAAAAACAAAAAAACCCCCACACATAAGTATAAAACAAAAAACAAAACAATAACTGATTTAAATATATTTATGTCGATAGTTGGTAATACATGACTTTTAACATTCTTGTACCCAATAGTTTTTAACTAACATCAATAGAGAAAACGATATTGTTTGATTAAAAATAATTTGGAAGGTAGTCGGCGGTAATAATTGGTATAAAATTGTCAAGATAGCTTATCCAACGATGAACAATATACATATATCACAAATAACAAAACCAAAATCAAAAATGTGAAAACAAAGATCACAAAATCAACTATTTATAAGGTTGAACATGTATTTTTCCCGAAACAAATTAAAGCTTATGTTTAATGGAAAATTCCCTTTTCCTTTCTATTTTTGTGTGTAAATGAAGTACTTCCTATACTTTACTATCACACCACCACGTTCTACTTACCTCTGACCGGTAAAGCGGACTCGTTGATACAAAGGAGGTAATTTGAAAACCCTCTAATCCCGAGACCAACGTTCAACAGCAACATGAAGCACAAATACACTAAACAATATTTCATGGTTTTTGAAAGACATGGAAGCGCATCATTGAATATCTCTGCAGCAACACGGCACATTTGTTGAGAAACATCAAAGATATATGATATATCAATTTGTGTGGAAAGCGTGTTGATTCTTCTAACAATAACCGGAAATGATCACTTTGACCTACGTCACTCGTTTATGTATCCTTGTTTATATACTAACTTGCTAAGCGCCGCTCTACAACGTTCTCCAGTTGTGGTTTTCAACATGGGTTCAAATCCAGGGGTAGATGTTGCGCATAACGACTTAGAAGTATGCAACAATTCTGTAACCGGTTGCCATATATGTGTGAACAAATTCCTGAGCTGTTTTAATAATCACACGAAATACAGAGTCAGAAAATACCTTTATATAGCAATAGTTTTTCAATGCATTAAGCCAAAAAAAGTTTTAAAAAAATACTGCACCAAAGGACCAAGTTTGACTCAATGGTGAATGTAAAGTAGAAAAAAATGAAAAAAATAAATGTTTCAAAACAAAACGAGAAATACTGGAAAAGATGCATACAAATCCTGTTACAACGTTGCAACGTTTTTAACTTTTTGCTACAATGGATTATCTGTCATAAAACACGGAAATGCAAATCAAAATAATTGTAACATAAATATGACATGATTTCGTTTCCAATATAGATAAATATTGGTATATGTATAGAAAATATGCTGAAATAACCTGATATCGGACTTTGTTTTAAACCCCTTCAATGCCTTTTCATTGACACTCTATAAATTCCTATATAAAGGATATTCTGTAGAGAAGAGCAGTTGTTTGGAAGGATTTATTTGCCGAAAGGTATTTACTGGTGTATTGATGAAAGGGCTATTTGCATCATTGTCGCAGAGTAAATTAGACTCAAGAACAAGAATCGTGAATTCTGAGAATTATGTAGATAATGACAGAAAATTAACAAGAATATCGTGACTGATAAACATTCACAAACTTGTTAGTTTTCCTAAAGATCGAATGAATTCGTCAGGTTCCCTGTACTGGTAGCTAAATGACAGGGTATTGGTATAAATGTTTTGCTCTCAACGGACCATAAAGTCAAATAAAAGAATTGACAAAAGCATATAACGTTTACAATTTAACAGATAACCAATGTATGACATTATCACATTAAAACCCTAACAAATTCTGATAACATTCGATGAACACCACAGTATCAGTATACATGTAATCTTCAGAAGAAAATTTAAACATTTTGACTATGAATGCTATTTTAAGGGGGATTAATATATTCAAATGGCTGCATAACAGAAGGAAAAAATAACTCTAAGCATAAACATTAGATAAAGGAGAAAATGCTATAAAGAAAATACCGCAAACAGAGGTCATGTAACAGTACATGAAGTACTGTTAATATTACTTCACACTTGAATCATGCAAACATTTTGAGTTGGTTCTGTTATCTAGATCCGCTGCAACACAAATGTAAATATAGTCAAGTACATCCTGCATGTAGCATATTAAAAAGACAGTTGTATCGTTTGGTGTATTGTTTATAAATGTGTATCACACAAGAAAAAATAAAAATAAAACGGAAAAGAAAGAGAAAGATATGTGATTTTAGGAAATATTTCGCTTTTACAACAATATCCCCGAAACCAAAGGTACTTCAAGTACTTCTCATACGTACGTATAGGTCAATTTGGTATTGTAGTGGTGTGTATTTGTATTGTCCTTAAATCTCACAATAGCGAAATCAGATTGTCTATTCAAACCGACCACATCCGGGTGCTACTACTGACCATATCCGTCCGAAGCTTCCGCCCATTCATCCATGTTTCTGACCGTATGTTGATATCGTTAATTGTGTCTAGTGCGTCAATCTAAACGGGTTACTGACCTCGAGCAGGCGTGTAATATGTTCAAATTATAAATAGTCTAGAGACGGACGTTTGTAGCTGTCATTTCGTGTACTAAGCCTCTTGGTCAAAGCAACTTGGAGGTTTGTCTTTAAAACTGACATCTTATGAATAATTAGTTGATGGTGTTTCTTCCTGAATCTAACTTATTGTTACAAGATACATTTGTATAATTTCATGCTCCTAAACAATATCTCTTTGCAAACATGTAATACACGGCACTACTTTTTATAATACTGTTGGTGTGAACAACAATAAACGGTGCTAAACTATACTATTGTTTGTGTTAGCATGTAACATGTATACGGTACTACTATTTACCTAAGCAATAGGTGTACTTCGCTACACAATACTATTATCTATGTCAACGATAAAACGTCCATACACTTTAATGCTAACTGTGTCAACAAAAATAAACGCCGGTTCGTCACATTACTGTTTGTGTCAACAATCGGTTGACATATTGAGGGCTACCTATTGTGTATGTCTATGAGTGTAAGAAAGAAAAAAATAATGAAATAAATCAGTTTCAAATACGTTGTAAATTACTAATGAAAAAAATAAAATAAGAATCTACTTATCCGCTCACATATTTGTGTGAGTGAGTAAATGGTATTTTCCAGATGAGAAAATATCTAGATTAGAATCCGACTTTTCAGCACTTGCTGTCAAAACAGCTGACTTACCTTTGGTTATCTTATTTTGCTGTATTTACCTTTATATACATTTATCGACTTTGGCTTTTTTTAGCTTTCCTTTACTTAACTTTGTATTTATATTTACTTCTTGTTATTTATATTGCTTCCCTTTACCGAAGTTTACTTCTACTTATCCGCTCACATATTTGTGTGAGTGAGTAAATGGTATTTTCCAGACTAGAAGTTATCATGATTAGAATCCTACTTTTCAGCACTTGCTGTCAAAACAGCTGACTTACCTTTGGTTATTGTACGTTGCTGTATTTACCTTGATACACCTTTTTCGACTTTTACTTTTGCTTTCTTTTACTGAACTTTACCTTTACCTTTACCTCTTGTTACTAATATTGCTTCCCTTTACTGCAGTTTACTTACCAACACTTATCTTGAGTAACCTTTACGAAATACCTTGGTCAAATTTTGCACGTATGTGTTTTAATGTATATTGAATTTTACGTAGCTTTAGAATGATTATTCAAAATACCAAGAATTTATTAAAAAACACTTGTTGATAACATTGTTTGCGCATGTAGAAAAACAAATGAAATAGCCGTTCCTTCTAGACCTTCAACTACTTTGAACTAATTTGACTTACATTTAATGGCATATGAGATAAAGAGGGTGGTCTAAAAATGTAGTTCATTCATTTCAAAACACCTTTATTTCAAACATCAATATTGGAAATGTATTTACTGTGAATCTCAAAGGTATTTGACGTTTAAGGGTATCGTCTCATAATGCGATGTATTCACAGATTAAGAGTTGTTCAAATGTTAATATTTTATATACAAGGACAGAAAAACGAAAAATTCAAAGGTCGAACGCAGCACTTTATATTATACTTTAAATAGTATAGTGTAAGACCTTTGACCTCTGGAGTACGAGTGCGGTTATTCAAAGTATAATAATGAAACAGGCGAAAAACAAAGTATTATTTTAATCGGCACAGAAATTAAGATAAAGGGTAAATATTGGATGTATGTAAATCAAATTAAGTAATATACCCTTACAAGTTAGAATTGCCTGACGTTATATATAAAAAAAAATCATGATTTGCACTTATGGTGATGAAGTAAGGGAGCCTGTTTTTACGGAGCTTCTGCTTCTATTGTAAATTGTCAAAGCTTGAAGTCAATAAGAGTTTCCTCCCTTTCAACGAGTAACGGGTGAAATTCGATATCTAGAGAACACAAACTATAATTTTAGAATACACATCCAATGCCATTTTATGGGTTAATTTATAGTCAATGAGCTGTGTGTTAAGCTTAAGGGACAGTCTGTCTGTTTGAATCTTACATGTGGATGACGTAGATGAAAAGTATGTGTTTCCTGTATATCTAAACCTCATGTTTCGATATTGGCGTCACACCGCGGGGTCAACTAGTATATCGGGAAAAGGGAAGGTGGTTGTTTTGACCATATCAGTGCAATAAAAAGTAAATATATCTCCATAACCAAACTCAGTTACTCAACATGTCAAATTAATATAAAAAATACTGTATCAGAAAAGGTTGCATTTCAATTGAAAGTCGGATTAAAAAAAAACCAAAAAAAAACCTGCATAGCTAGACCAAATTAGAGAACGTTTTCATCGTTAAGTTAGCCAATATCAAGCAACGTAACTGTTTTTTTCAATTTATCAATATGAACGATTTTAACAGCGGGGGCTGTTACAAGTCAATACTTTGTGAATATAATATCAATATCAACGCATCTATTTAATAATCTAATAATTCATTTATGATATATATATAAATATGTAAGTATATTAGATAAGGTTGTACGAATAATTAAATAATTAATTTAAATATGAACAGCGTATCTTGGACTGTGATGGTTTCTATATAAACAGGATATCAACACTTGTCAAACTTGCCCCTCAGCATCCGGCAAATAATCAAAGAATGTATACTCTGTACAATGTAAAGAAACACTACTAATACTTTCGACGTTATAAAAACAGAAGTGTGAACTCATAATCGATGAAACCGGGGCAAAATATGAACAACATATTTGCATGAAAATCAAATACAATAAACAAAACAGTCGGCTTGGTAGTTTATTCCTATGGGTATGCTTGTAGTCTGATTGAAAATATTGCCAAAGAACTCAACACACATATATAGATGTTTAATTAGGAATTCAATCATAAATTCCCATAATTGCAACCTCAGTATATTTCTTCATGACTTTCGTCGTGTTTTCGCAATATTTGCTTCAGAATAGTTCCCAACTGTTTAAAATCATATAACCACTCTTCTTAAAATCTGGAAGAACAAAACTGTAATAATAAAAACTAATTGAAGGTATTCCTTTAGATAAGATGAAGAACCACTGTGTTCATAGTTGGAATATACAAGTAAGTGGTTTGATCTAGGAAATATTTGTTAATAAAAAGTTGTTCAAGATCGATCAATGGCAGTTCTTCAAATTTTATATTTTTTTATTTCACTTTTGTAGTATACAGTGTTATAATACGCCTGTAACACTGAATCAGAGGCACTACACTAGCAGTAAGACGTTTGTATAA